TTTGCTTAGGCTCACAAGGATGTCAAGTATGTCAAAGTGCCAAGAGAGTTATCCCCAAGCTAGCCAAACACTATTTATAGACACCCCCAAAGGAATAGAGCCGTTAGAGCCAAGGAGGGGCGTTCTGTGTACTGACCGGACGCGGCGGTCAAGATGACCAGACGCGCCGGCCTCAGCGTCTGGTCGCTGGATAGCCTCCACGTGTTGCCCTTTCAAATTTCAACCACTGGATCTCAACGGCTATTTTCTAAACGCGTGAACAGTTAAGTCATGATCGGACTCAGCGCTCTAGTGACCGGACTCTCAACACCGTGGCGTCCGATAATTTACAGAAAGGTTCTAGAACCAAAAATTACCAAGGTGTTGAGGCCCAGCGTCCGGTCCTTCCACTGCCCAACACAGCGCTCCCAAGGTGTTGAGGTCAGCGTACGTCACACTTGACCTGACGCGGCCCCTGCGCGTCCGGTCCCGCCAACCGCCAGCATCAATAAGTGACCGGACGCGCAGGTGGCATCGTTCGGTCGCTGCTCAGCCCTCTCGGCTAGCTGCGCCATGCTGTTTATAAATGACCGAACGTGGTCGGGGTGAGTCCGGTCACCCCGAGGTCAGCGTCCGGTCGTGGACCTTCTCCTCTTTTTCTTTTTCTAAGTCAACAACCGCCTCACCCTTGCTTTCAACTTGCTAACCACAAAGTGTAGAACTTGTGTGCACGTGTGTTAGCATTTTTCAAAGCATTTTATAAGGATCAAGGTTAGCACACTAGGTTCCTAAATGCATACGCAAGAATCATGTCACCTAGTGGCACTCGATAAACTGTTTAGCCAAGGATTTCCCCTCTTTATAGTATGGCTATCGATCCTAAATACACTCACACCCTCTATGGTGTCTTGAGTGCCAAAACAAAAACCTATTTGATACCTTTGCCTTGATCATCTTGGTTTTTGTTTTTCTCTTTCTTCTTTTCCAAGTTAAGCCAGATCATCTTCAACACATGTCCAACTCCATCTCCATGGACTTCATCACCATGCTCCATCACTTGGTATGTACCAACCTTGCTCACCTGACACTCATGACTGAAGGTGGACCGTGACGCCTAAGGGGGGGGGGTGAATTAGGCAACTTAAAAATCCAACTCTGAAACTATGGCCTCTTTTTCTACCCTTAGCAAAACCTATGCAAAAGATAAACTATCTAAATGTGCAACTACGGTTTTGCTAGTGTGTTGCTATCTCTACCGCACAAAGGAGTAATACAAGTAATGTAAATGCGGAAGCTAAAGAGCAAGGTAGAGATATGCAAACTCCCATCGACGACTCCGGTATTTTTACCGAGGTGTCGAGAAGCGCGCAAGCTTCCCCCTAATCCTCGTTGGAGCCCCTCGCAAGGAATCCCTCGTAAGGGCCAAGCTTCCGGTCGGGTAACTCCGTGGATAGCCTCGGGCCTTCCCCACGCGCAAGTGGGTCTCCGACGTGCCTTCCGGCAAGCCTCTCCCGGATGCTCCCCGCTGTCTTCACTATCAAGCTTCCGGCCGAAACGCCGCGGGCCTTGTTCCCTCCGGTACACGGTGGCGGCCACACCACAAACGCGGTTGGTGTGATCTCGCAAGACTTCAAGCCCCTCCGATGTACAACACTTGTGCTCGCAAGCACGGGGTGGCAAGAGGTATGCAAACCTCACTAAACACTAGACATAAACCTAGAGCGAGCGCATAAGCGGTGGTCTAATCAACCTAAGTACTTCGCAAAGCACTTATACTAATCACCTAATAAAACACTAAGCACTATGCATGTGGAGATCACTAAAATGGTGTATCAACACCCTTGGTATGTTTCCTCAGCTCCACTCCTCTCAAATGGCCGGTTGGGGTTGTATTTATAAGCCCCACTGAGAAAGTAGCCGTTGGGGTCGAATTCCCGCGAAACTGCTACTGACCGGACGCTGAATCATCCTGACTGGACGCGTCCGGTCGTCCCGACCTTTGAGCCAGCAATATACTGATCGGACGCTGGCCAGCGTCCGGTCTCCTGCCACCAGACGCGTCCGGTCGCAGATTTGTCGCTCTAGAACCTTACTGTACTCGATCGGACGTTGTTGTCTTGCGTCCGGTCGGTTGCCGCCAGCGTCCGGTCCTCGCATCCGGTCGCCTGTCTGCCGAGTCTCCACCCAGCATCCGGTCGCAGCGTCCGGTCACCACAGTGAGCTCGTTTCTTCGCGATCTTGCATATGGCTTGGTTCCAATCTTCATGCTTGGACTTTACTTGATCTCTTGGGTCTTCTCTTGTGCTCCTAAGATCTTGCTTTAAGGTGTTGATCATCGGATCATCACGTCGCCTTCGTCCAAGTCACGTCTTGCATCCTATTGGACTACAAAACAAACACTTGCAAATTCATTAGTCTAATTTGGTTGTGTTGATCATCAAACACCAAAATCCAAAGTAAATGGGCCAAGGGTCCATTTTCCTTACAATGACAAAGGTTAGTACTTAGGTTTTATCAATAAGCCAAAACCAAATTAGGCTTTCACCAGTCGCCCGTCCCTGTGGTGTTTGGAGGCTTCGCCTGGAGATTGGAATATGATTCTGCCACTTTGATGCATAGTTGGTCTCTATGTAAGTGTCAATGTAATATTATTACTCATTATGTAATAAACACTATGCTTGATACTTTGTAATTTATTGTCATATATGTGTGATTGATTCCTGGGCACACATATAGTGTTCATCTGGTTTTGTTCATGGTTAAAGAAAACCTCATATCAAATGTTTTGTGCCACTTGACTCCGTATAGAACATGTAATTTTTTCACTTTAGCTCACACTTAGCTCTAGTCTCACATGGACCATGTTGTGTTATTATTTGTTAATATTTATGCTAATGAGGATTAGACCGTGGAATTTTAAAGATGCCATCTTTATGTAATGCCTCACTTATACTCACTAGTATAGTGCCCGTGCTAACGCTATGGCTACATTTAATAATACAAATCAAACAACCAATAAAATATATTGCCAATAGGAAAAAGAATGCATGGAAAATAAAATGAGATGACAATAAAATATATTACCAATGGGAAAAAGAATAGGCCATATAGAAGATTTTGGAGTATTATGCTCCAAACTTCTGATTGCTTTCACTTAAAGCCAGCGAAACAGCGAAACATCGAGAGTTCCCAACATAGAACAAACATTTTAGCAAATCTCTTGTAGGTTTTAGAAACATTATGAGGCAATACAAATAATGCAGCAAACTAAAAAGTCATGTGCAAAATACACCACTTGCGTTGTGTCTCACTGATCTTGGCAAATCTTAATTTGGGGTTCGCCTGGACTAACACCGGCTTCCTTTACATAAGAATTTGGCATGTTCCACTACCTTGTATTTGGATGAGTGCCATGCTGCTGAACCAAAGCCTTATGCAACCCAGCATGACGTGTGTTTCTTGCCAATTGGGAGCTCGCGGCCTGATTCATGCACAAAATAGTATATACTTATCAATGCAAATTAGACACAAAACTTTATAGTGACCAAACATTTACAGGAAAATGGCAAAGAAATACTAGGTAACATGAGTTCTTGATGAACTTGATCACTTGGAGACGGTTGCACCCTACATATCAATGTCAACGGATGACAAATGGATCATGCTAACCTGGTTATTTAACATGGGACACTGAGTTTAAGAGTAATGGATACTCACAAAGCAACTTCCAGAATTACCAGGATCTGTACACAGAGAACAGGTAATCATTAGATTTGCAACAGGGTAAACAAATAGCTTTCACCGTATATGCTAACCATTGCAAACAGTAAGGCTTGATTTAATCTTAATCTAACGAAACTGCAACATGGAAAGAAATTCCAAGAAACTAATAGCAAACTGTTATGTTATTAAGCAAACCAAATATTGGGGCTTGCAGATCCATGAGCACATAGATTTGGGGGAACAAAATCTTGAATATCTAACAGAATTACTGAAAGAAGACAGACAACAGCAACTCAATTGTCAGAAATGCTGCCCAAAGTTAAGACAGAACTTATTCTTTTTTCTGTAATTGCGCCAAACCTTCATTGCAAAAATTTTGAAAATTTGTGAGTATACTATGGCCTCCAAACCTACAGGTTTGTAAACTACTGATTTCTGATTTGAAGTCATTCTTATCAGGTAAAACCAGTAGGGGTAAATACCCTAGCAACTTAGCTGAAATCACCTGATCACAGATTTCCACCCCTAAAAAACAAATTCATATCAGGACTTCCAGAGCTCCTCTAAAGATCTATTTTGCCAATCTAGAATATATATTTCATTGTTGCAAGTACAATATGCTTCAAAGAAGTTGTAGGGTGCACTCAGAAAGGAAAATAAACTGCATGCAGGAACATGATACAGGTAGAAGTTTACTTCTCTAACAGCAGATGTGTGATCTTCCTCAAAGAAATAGTGTGGGTATATGAAATCACATTACTTGTCTTGTGTCAAGTTACACCTGTCTCTCCACTTCAACAGCACTCTGTTCAAACCAGCAGAAGCACTTGCTAACGCTACGGCCACCATTAAGTCCGTGCTAACGCTATGGCCACCATTAAGTCCACTGTGATATTTAATTGTTGGAAATCCGATGCTATTCCATGTTATAGAATGAACATGTCAGTACCCTCATCTGTAGTCGGGTTCCATTAGGACAAACAGAGGTATAAGGAAAAATGATAGCTAAATATGAAATGAACACATGTCAGTACCCTCATCTGTAGTCAAAACATGGTATAAGGAAAACTGATAGCTAAATATGGAAAACATTATCCGGTGAACACAGGTAGAGAATATGTAAACTTTCCAAATACAACTATCTCTGAATGGTGCAATCACAGAATCACTTATATAATATACAGGTCTGAGCACAACCAGAGATAAATGGCTTAATGTTCATAGTTACAAGCCTACATGTATATTTTACAAATACAAGGAACTAATTAGTTTCTGAATTTCTAACTGAAAAAAGTTACTCACGATCTATTCGAGGCAGCATCGATGTTAATCATCATAGGTCCTGCTTGCCAACCATCTAGCCAAAACACTCCATCAGGGAGATTCTTGCTCTGCACTGTGATGCATATCTGAACAACTATTGCGGGGCAGATATACCTTAGCATCTCTATGAGCATATCAAAACCAGCACCTGCATTAAATAAAAATGCAAAAAAGAAAACATTACTGAATCAAGTATGTGGTAAGACCAAGCAAATCAGCTCTCGCATGACTAAGAGATACCTTTTACCCAGCCAGGAGTATTGACAATTAGTGGCAGCATTTCATTCTGATCGCATCGATATTTTCCAACGAAATAATCAGTACAAATGGAATAGGAAATTTGGATATGCTTCTGCATTTCTTTTTGAAGAAATGTCACCAAAGAAGTAGGACCTAATCAAATTTGTAAATGGCATTAGTAAAACCCATGCAGAGATAACATAAGTGAGGAATATTAAACAAAACGTTTGCTCTGGCAAAACTTTAAAAGTTACATGGTCGTGCTAACAAACTACTACAACTGTTCCAGTAAACAGACGAAGAAATCCCACAATAGAAATTGTGTACAAATCCTGAAGTGAAGAAATCAAATGAAATTACCACACACTGCTGCACTACCAGCTAATCACAAATCCTGAGGAGAAATTTTACACCTTTCAGCTTCACGTAGAACCAGGTTTAGCAAACCAGCCCAAGCAAAAAATCATCTTGTTCGTGACGACACCTGTGAGCTGTGGCACAACTATCAGCACATAGATTTCGAAAAAACAAAACTAACATTTTCTATACACATCTTAATTGCTGAGACGATCAAAATATTCACGGAATCAGAAATCATACCCTGGTGGCCGGCGGCCTGGCGACCTGGTGGCCGTCGTCCTGGCGCCAACGCCCTCCTGAGCCCACGCCGCCGCCTGCTGAGCCTGCGCCGCCACATCCCGCGCCGCTATCGCATCTCGAGGCTACGCACCGTGCCTCCTTAGCCACGCTGCTGCTGCCTCCTGGGCCCTTGTGGAAGCTGCAGCCGCCACATCCCAGACCTGCGCCGGCCGCCGCATCTCGGACCCGCGTCACTGCCGCATCCCAAGCCCACGCCTCCGTATCTCAAGCCCTCCCATGGCCGCCTCCTAGGCCCGCGCCACCGCATCTAGGGCCGAGCCGCCGCCGTCTTCCAAGGCGGCGATGGCCAGCCTAGAGGCCAGGCCTTGGCACGGTGCTGTTGAGGAGGGAGAGAGGGGCCGGCCGATGTAGGCGAGGGAGAGGGAGGCGCGGCCGTCGGGGGAGCCTACGGTCTACGCCGAGCGCGGCCGCCGCCGGCCAAAACCCTAACCGTCCGCCGGACTAGGAGAAGGAGACGGAGGCTCTTGACGAGGACGGAGAGAGGGGCGCGGTGCCGGCCAGTGTGGAAGATGGAGATGCCGGCCGGAGAAGGATGCTGTGGGTAGAGAGGGAGGCGCCGCCGCCGGCTAGTCGCGACTTGCGACTCCCGAGAGGTCACGAGCGAAGGGGAAGGAATCGTGCGTGGCTGTTGGCTCTCTTCATGGAGGCAGGAGCGTACATCGATGTCTCTTTTTTTTCAGAAAATTGGGGAAAAAAGGGGTGCCTAGGAATCGGGATTTGGGATGAGCTATGAGGTTTGGTTCACAAAATCTGGTCCGTTGGATTTGAGTGAGTGAGAGAAAGGAGAGACTACAGTGCATCTCGTGCGTTCGTTTCAAAAGTTGGCTGACTTTCAGCACGTTCGTTTATTGGTTTTAGCCTGGGCTTATCAGCCAGCCAATAGTATTTTTCTCTTACAGCAAATCAGCACCAACCGGGCTTATTAACCCAGAAACCAATCAACGAACAGTCTGTTTAGGTGTACTTTTTTGGGTGCATGTAGAATAGTTCAGACTGCGGTAGATAGTTTTTTTTAGCTTTAGGAAAATTCACATCCGCGTGTATTATTAGTGGTAGAGATATAACTCTCTTTTGCTTATTCCTCTTGTACCACCGGTCAGTAAGTGTTGGTTAAGGCTTAGCTCTCTTTAATTTAACAATGAATTAAAACATTTCTATCGGGCGCAATCTAAAATACATGTTTCGAATATCGACATAATCTCAACATCTATAGCACCAAATAGGTTATACAGTAAAATATATTTCATGGTGTCATAAATATTGATGAATTATTTCTCTATAAATTTGATCAAACTTAACCATCAGTGGATCCTATGAACTAGAACCAATATCTAGAAGGTTCTACTCATTTCATTATTAGACTACTTTTCAATTTCCCTCAATTCGTAGAACCAAACAGATCTTTATTTTAGATGAAGGAAAATGTTTCCGGCCTACAACATTCGAGGGAATGAGTACAGTCTTGCAATACAAACTCAAGGATACTTAGAACCAAACAAAGCTTAAGATAATTCGATTTTGTCCATGTTTAGTTCGCGAAAAGTTTTCCCAAAAAGTGCTACAATACCCATCACATCGAATCTTGCGATATGTGCATGGAGCATTAAATGTAGATGAAAAAAACTAATTGCACAGTTTGGTTGGAAATCGCGAGACGAACGTTTTGAGCCTAATTAGTCTATGATTGAACACTAATTGCCAAATAAAAACGAAAGTGCTACAGTAGCTCAAATTCCTAAAATTCGTGAACTAAACAAGGGCTTTGTATGACAATAGAAGTTGAGCTATTTTGAGACAGACGGAGTATAAAAATGAAACTCGGTGATTGATGCGATTAGTAAGCGAGGACACGAAATGGAAATGGAGTGAAGTATGCGTTTTGTTGGCGTGGCGGGCGTACCAAAGAGGGTGAGGTCTCCGTCCTCAAGCACCGGCGCCTCCCCGAACGGCTGCAATCAGAACAGGGGATACAGTCAGTAATAATCCAGACAGCAGGGGCCTAGAGCAGCAGCAGCAGCACGCACGTTCCTGGCGAGGTAGTCGGGGCGGCGGTGGTCGCCGGCCTCCCTGCTCATGGCGACGAGCTCGTAGTCGACGCCGGCCTCCTCCAGGCACAGCAGCACCCGCGACACGAACGGCGAGATCGCCCACCCGTACACCTTCACCGCCATGTCTTGTCTGCTGCTCCATCTCTTTATCTCCCTGGATCCTGATGTGCTTGTGTTCTCCTGGGAATTGGGGATCCGTGTGGACTGTGGAGTGAATCGACGTGTGCTTGCCACTGCTCGCTATTTGTACTACGCGAGGCCAGGCCTCAGCACTCAGCGGGTAGCGAGAGAAATCAACCAGAACACCGGCACAGAGATGAGTACAGTGTTGGGTCAGCATGAGCGGCTCGTGACGACTTAGCTTGCGTCGTGCAGCCCGTTCGCTGGCTGGTTTCTAGGCTAATAAGCCCGGCTAGTACTGATTTGTTGTGAGAGAAAAATATTGTACCATAGCTAATAAGCCCTAGCTGAAACCAACAAGCAAACAGACTGATGATAATAGGGATATTCTTTCTAGAGGAGGAACTGCGTGATTGTACTGTCAGCACGTGATGATTGATTATGAGATGGATAAGATGGTTAAATTTGTACTGATATTTAGCAGTAGCATTTGCTAACAAAATATTTGACTACATCTAAACAAATGTTTTCATTATTGGTATAAACTTTAAACCAATACTTTATAATAACATAATAAAATTTCTCTCTTATTAATTAGAGAAATGGTTAGTAATAAAGCTAACTAGTGGCTAAAAGATACCGCTGTCTATAATAACCAATCTAATAGCTCATTCGTATAATACTTTTCAATTGAAATATCTGACCACATCATTCTGTCATAGAGATTCCTTTATATTTTGGAGCCTATGAATTACCTCCAGTCCGATTTCTAAGGGAACTCCCAACCATGAAAGATGAAACTAGTTATATGTTCAATAATCAGGATCTAAACTAAGGAAAAGATGATGTGTCACTGCAATTAAAGAAGATAGATGAGGAAATAGTTTCTTAGATAAAAACCAAGATATGAGGAGATGAGATAGATAGATGATATAGAGAAGACATGTGACTAGCTAAAAAATTTTATTCTGTAAAAACTATTATAAATTAATAGACAGAGAAATTATATGTGGTTTTTAGCATATATGTGGTTCAATAGGCAGAGTATATTTTTTTTTCTTGAAACTGTTGCACGCCTTAGAAAATACTAGTATACCGGAAGGTAGTAGCTAGTTTGTAAGTTTACCGTCTGTTTTGTTTTTCCTCTTTTCTAATCATTCTTCATCTCACTAAACATCTGAGATGGCATCTTTTATATAGCTTTTTTAGATTAACTTATCGTACTTGCTTTTATACGTCTGTGTCTGTTGGTCTGAACACTTTACATAGGTTTCCTAAGGGCGTCCCCAGTGATGTGGACGCCGTAGGCAGCTGACGTGGAACAGAGAGAAAAATAGAATGATTATTATTTATATATTCTGTCTCATGCTTGGTTGTTCCTTCGAGGCAACTGGCCCCATCTCCTCTCTAGCTTTCTCTCAGCTCCACGTCTGCATCTAGCTAGCTCCGAGCTCACCGTTGAGGACGCCCTAATATGAGCGACACAGCCTTGTAGAAATCAATCCATCTAGAAGTACCACAAAGAAAAAAAAAGGAAGCGCGGTGATGGCTGACATGTTTCTGCATACGGTTATCAGTTGGTCGGGTTCATCAGTAGTAATGAATGCCCGACGTCGTCATTGGTTGCGTCCGATCCACGGTTGACCTCACGTCACACCCTAAAAATTTCGATTTTGTGTCGTGAATAGAAAACACAAAATAAACCAAATGATTTTAATATTTGGATAAAATTTACCAAGTTTAGTTTGAGTTAGCGTAAATTTAGATATAGAAAAATATGAATTTACAAAAATTTCTCAATCAATTTGACTAGTTTTGGATGGATGTGATGTTTGCTTGTTGCTTAACTTTGTGTTTAAGGGTGCAAAGTTTTCAAAATACGTTTAGGAAGCGTCTAAATCATCTCAGCTTTGCTAATCCATCTCCAATCAATTCTGTTTATTTGCTCCATGCATTTGTTTCCTTAACACGTAATGATATATAATATAATATAAAATAATGATCTTTTGAAGGAAGAAACCAACCGTTCCTTTATTTTCTTCCTTAACTGGACTTCCTTTGCACGTATCATCGATCTCTCTCTTTGTCTAATTTGTAGTCGTGCACATCAAGGACTTCCTGTCAATCTCCATCACGACGTTTGCCATATGACCCTCTGTTGTCTATATACATAACAAGCCTGGTCCATTGTTTCTTTTCTAAACTCTAAAACTAAGCCAATCAATGATGATCCATGCCGCCGCCAGTGCCAATCTTTCCCATCATCAAGGTTGCTCCAAATGTGCCCTAGTTTGTTCATGCGCTGCCGCCGGCCACCGTCGAAATCTGCACAAACTGCGCCGGAGAAGCGGCGCCGTGAAGGACGCAGCCACCCGGAGCATTGCCAGAGATCGCTTGGAAGCTGTTGAGACCTCATCGGCATCGTCCCGTGGCCTGATCATCTACGCTGCAGGAAAGACCGTAGGCTGTTCTCCATATGCAAGTCCAGCCATCGTCCATCCCGCGCTGTTCTCCACCATCCCTTGCAGAACTCCGGCCATCGATCGTTGTTTGCCATCGGTGAGCACTGCACATTCATATAGTTCCTATCTCTCTCTTTTCTCTTCAGTTAGTCTGAGCAATTCTTTGCTTGTTTTGCTAGTCGCAGCCGAACCGTATCTAGTACCATGCAAGTTTATCTGCACACTGTACGTGATGCTTCCTGTTCAGTAGATGCAAGTCACGGCCACCCAGTTCCTGTCCAACAGCAGAAACAGTTGCTATTTCCTCCGTCGCCTTGACACCAGTAACAAGCGTCATGCATGTTTGATTAAAGGTGAGACGCACATATCCTTGTCCTTTATTTTATTGATCAAAGATGGTGCTGATGTCATGCCTATCGATACACAATTCCAACACCTTCCTACGTATATAGCTTTAATCTTGCGCCATACGGCTGTTTTAGCTCCGTTTCTACCCGTTTTTGCTGTGTTAGATTCGCGATAACAGAGTATGCGTGTTAGTGTCGACGTTTAATTAATATGTCCATATTTCTGAAGTTAAATATTAACTTGATTAAAGTTCATGTGCTACTAGCTTTCTAAATTAATCAAAAGCGTTGCCACGTCGGCCTTTTGTAAATAAATATTAAATTGATTAATGATCATACAACTAGTTTTAGAATTAAAAACAATATAGGTTCTATACGGTGTTTTTATATAAAAAATATTAATATGATTAATTGCTATCACCGTGTTTTTGAATTATAAATTGTTTAACTTAAACCCGCATCATATGCAGTTCGAGTAGGTGTTTCATCTGTCCTTTTATTTGGCAAAGTTAGTGTTTAATTTGCTTAAATATACAACAATATTTATAAGTAAAATATGACTAGATTTACCTTGGCTATTAAATTAAATTAAGATTTGTTTAATCTAAATTAATAACTTCTCCATGATTGTGTTTAACTAAAATAAATCAAGCTTGTAGTTGTTTCCTTTTCTTATAATATAGAACTCTCGGTAGTCGTTTCTTTTAAATGGGAGTTCCAATATCGGCGTTTTTTTTTATCTCGTAGCACTAGCTCTCTTTTAGTATGTTGTTTTTATCTTATGTGGTGTATTGTTCTTAGCCGCTTTTATTATGTTTGCCTATGCGTGCAGTGGTGCTTGCTACGAGTAAAACGAGAACCGTTTGTGAGTGCTGAAGATAAGATGATGATGACCAGAAGCAAAGTATGAGGAAGCTTGAGAAAGTGTAAAAGGCAAGCATAATATGTGGCTTTCCTTGATACCTAATAACCTTATGCAACTAAATTCATACTTGCATGTGCCTAATTTGATCTACCACTAAGGACTTGCCTAGATGTTGTTATCCTGATCCTTGATACATATGGTTCATGTATATGGGTAGTTTTGCTAGTTGCTCTACTTAATGATGAAAGCTCCTTAATAATGACTAATGGTATATGCAGTGTTGTTTAAAATGTGCTTTTTAGCAATATGGAATCCCTACTTATCTGTGAGTAAAATCCGAGACTTACAGTACAACCATGAGTGCTATATGGCTCTGGCTTTAGTCAAGTATAAGGATCTTTTCTAGCTTGTTAGTGGTTACCAAAAAGCGCAAGAAAAGTTTGACACCATTGAGTATAGTGCGGCCTCTGTTAATTTGAGTGCTTCTTCGTGAGTTTGACACCTTAAAGGGGGGCTCTATATCTGTCTGCCACTGAAACCTAGCGGTCCTAACTTGATAGATGAACTTTTGAAAGACTTCATAGTGAACCATGCCGACCTTTCTTGGAAGTTGGTCAAGAGGTTGGACGCCTCGGGCGAAAGGGTAAATTACGGCTCATGGTGAAAGTGTACAACCTCTGTAGAGTGTAAAACTATTACACGGTCACGAGCGGCTTGAAAAACTAATAAAATAATTGGTTCTTATTTTTATTCTATGATGTTAATGCTTATATTTAATCATTATTGTATAATTGCCATTACTTATGATTATACGGAACCGGAGCTTAAGCACAACTTTATGCTACATTAATGTTAAAATTGTGACTTACTAAAATGCTAACCGCAGTAAACTAGTGTCATCCTTTTGATCCTTCAGTCGTCCATGTTATATTTGTTGAGTACGACATGTGCTCTCACCCTTACTATTTCCCCTACACTTCCGGTCTCTAGCAAAAGTTGCTCATAAGATTAAAGAAGACATGGAGGAGTTCTCAGAAGACTGATGGAAGTGTTAGGCGTACGTTACCCCCAGTCAGCCATCCCTGTGAAGAATGGAGCTTGAAGATTAGTTACAGTTCGCGATACTCTGATGTAAGTGTTAATATAGCTATGTATACGTTATTTAATAACATTGTTTCTAATACCCTTCATTATGTTGTTGTATGTGTATACTTCCTGAACATGCATATAGCGAGCTTGGTTTTGTTTGGAAAACTAGGTGTGACACCTCATCAGTCATCTCCCGAGACCTTCCTCCGAACCGTGATCGACGACAACAGCGTCCCGGCCCTTTTTCCACGGAACGGGAACCATACTTCGATCGTGTTGCGCGCCACCACGCCAAAACAACACAAAAATCCAGCCACGTCGCGCGTCACCAGTTTGCCTACTTTTCCTTCTCTGTTAATGCACGCCTAGAATCTTGAATTTTTTACTCCAAGGTTAAACAAAATACAACCTAGAATAGTCATTTAGGCCACACCAGACATACTGATTACATTAGAGTGTGATATTGAGGTTTGCCCTATTGCTCAGGTTACTACTTTTTAGAATTCTCAAACATGAATTTTACTACAAAGTTATGAATATCTTAGAGAGTGCAAAGTTTTAACTACAAAGTTTATAGCAAGTCATTAGAAGTTTACAATGTGCTAGTATTAGAGCATGTAACATCTAAAAGTTTCAAATTCCCTGCATCCCAGAGATGCTTTAGAATATACTTGCAATTTCTAAAACATTTCTGGAGCGGAAGGTGTCAAGGCTGCCAGCTGCCAGCTGCCAACCGCTATCGCAACATTAGAATCTAGTGTTATGGATGACATTACGATATCCAATGCTAAATTCAATGAAATTTGCTACAGGGCAATCTGAAATGTGATTAAATATTATTTTTTTTTGCTAAATGTGATGAAATACATTAAATTTATTCATACAAACGCTCAGTATTCATCGACAAAAGTAGCAAAAAAAGAACAAATATGAAAGTTACACAAAGCACAGAGAGACGCCACACCTGGAAAAGTAAGCACTATATCTGGGCACAAAGCCCGAGCCCGTGAGCCCGGCACGGAGCCCGCTATTTAGGCCCGGCCCTAGCCCGGCCCGGCCCGAAGGCCAATGGGCCCGGGCTGGCACGGCACGGGGGTGCAGGCCGTGCTTGGGCCGCACCCTAGGCCCACACCCGACGGCACGGCCCAAAAAATAACGGCGGGTTCAGTGGCGGCCCAACGGCAAGCAAGCCAAGCGCCGCCCACCCCAAGAACTCCGCCCTCCTCCCCATATATAAACCGCGACCCCCCGGCCCCCACCCCCACCCTAACCCTAACCCCATTCCCCTCCCAACCGCCGCCGCACTCGACACCCGCTCGGGTCGCTCGTCGCTCTCGCTCGTCGCCACTCGCCTCCTATCGTCGATCCATCTTAAATGCCAGGTGCGACCGTCGTCCTTGATCCGGTGATATCGCCGCCTCCATCACCTCTCCCCGAGTTCCCCGCTCCCTCGGTCCCTCTCCGTCTTCCTTTTTACTCATTCTCCTCTGTTTGTCGATGAACATGTGAGTCTCGCCTCCCGTCTCTCTCTTCGCTGCCGCCATGACGCGCCGTCCCTTCTTAATCCCGTCTTGCCCTTGTGTGGCCCTCGTCTTCTCCGGCTTTGGGCTCCGGTTTCTTGTGAGTAAGTCCATCCCCATTCGTAACCCTAACCCTAGCCCCAAGATCTATACGTTTCTCATCCTTTTCTTCTTTTTGTGTTCTTTTTTTTCTTTGTAGGTCTGCTGCCGATGCCTCGTCAATCAACTAGCCTTGGCGTGAACAGCTCTTTTTGATATTTAAATATGTTGTCTTCATCTTGTTGTTGCTCTTTGTTTATTGCCTAAGTGTCCTAAATGGCTAAGTGTGAAAAAATTGTGTTGGTCAAAATTCATACTTATGTGTTCATGGTTGAAAAAAAATGGATTGAGATATTTATTTGGAGGTGTTTTAGATTTAACGGGCTGTGGGCTGGCACGGCTTGCTATTTTTGCCGTGCCTCACGGGCCAGCACGGCACGAAAAATGGCCCATAGGCCCATGCATGGGCCGAAGGCCGATGAGGCACGACTGACTGCGAGCACGCAGCGTGCCTCCTTGGCCCGATAGCCATCGTGCCATGACCGTGCCGTGCCGGGCCGGCCCGATGCCCAGATATAGTAAGCACACAACATGCATCACTATATCACTCCTGTTTCTTGGGCACCCCGGAGCCGAGCGGCATGAATTTTGCCACCACCTTAGCTGCTGGGCGGGCGGCGAGGCTCTCCCACCAGGCGCTGACGTGCGGTAGTGCCTCGACCAGCGTGGCGTACTCCGTAGCCATGAAGTAGTGCATGATGGTGAAGTGGCTGAGGTCGGCGAGGCTGAGGACGTCGCCGGCGAGGTACCTGCTCTACGCCAGCCGCGCCTCGTACACCTCCAGCACCTTCTTCAGCTTCTCCACGTTCTCGTCGACGACGGCCTGGTTGCGTTCGCGGCCATGTAGGACAGGCGCGACGATGCACTCGACAGCGATGGCGCCCGCTAGTGGTTCCATCCGGTGGGCCTCCACCTCCACCCACATGTCCACCATCGCTGACTGCTCCAGGCTGCCGGACCCTAAGAGCTCCGGCTTGTACTTGCGGAGCACATGCCTCGCGATCGCCCGGGATTCTGAATAGAGAAATATGTATATTATGTGTTAGAAAATTTTGTGGTGGTGGATAAAATGCCGCTATGGTGTTTTATGGATACACATTTCCGAGCCGGTGTGAATTGTAGTTTACACCACATAGAAGTATCATGGTTTAAGAACACCACATATAAAGTATTTTGTGCCACTTAACTCCCATATAAAACATGTAGAATTGTTTCACTTTAGCCAACCCTTACCTCTAGTCTCAACTCTCACGTGAACATGTCGAGTTATTATTTGTTAATATTTACGCTAATGAGAATTAGATCATGGAATTGTAAAAAAAAAATCCACTTACACTCATAATTTGCTTCATCGTTTACCACTGGTCGGTAAATGTAGGTTAAGACCATTAGTTTCTTTAGCAATATCATCATGAAGCATTGGTATCTCTCTCTATATTTGATGAAGCAAAAAGTAAAGAAATGTTGATGGTAAAAGTTTGAGCTATCGACATGATTAGAAAAGGACATATTCTGAATCAAAGATAGCAGTATATACCTTGTACAAAGAACATGAATAAGAGAGCACGTTAACGCATTCAAAATTGTGCATTTTAGTACTGGTAGCAAGGTTTCGGGTGACCATAAAAAACGAAGAAGGTTTAGGTGCCAAATGAGAGAGTTGTGAAACCAAAGTCTTAATTTTTCCAAAAAAATAAACCAAAGTCTTATTTGTACCAAGAGGACGTCGACGATTACACTTGGCCAAGTGGGGACTGGATAAGCTTAACTAGCAAATTTGGAAACGAGAGAAGAACCTGAACGTTCAGATTCTTTTGGAACATAGAAATTGCATAGAAATCAATTTAGTTTTGTAGAAAATACACAGAAACAGAAAAAAAAAAATCCTGTGCTCCAGACAGAGCATCGGAAAATTCGGAAAAGTACTGATACTCATCATTTCTTTAGTTCGTCTTTTTTGAAAGTCACGCCCATTATAGTATCTTCTGTTCGTCTTTATGGGAAGTACGGATACTCATTTCTTGAGGCGTTGAGAAGTTTTTACCAACGTTGACTCTGTTTTTATGTTGGTATTGAAAATAACATTTATTTTTATTAGATTATAACTGTCAGTTAAAGCCTTTATCCTAGCAGCGGAACAATTAAAACATGCTTATATATCAAAATGAGAATTTGAGACTGAGGTGATAAGCGAGAGGACAGGAGATGAAGTGAATTAATTATTGGTTGGTTGGCGGGCGTACCAAAGAGGGTGAGGTCTCCGTCCTCAAGCACGGGCACCTCCCCGAACGGCTGCAATCAGAAAGCACGAGCAGAGCAGGAGACAGCAAGGGCGTCGTCAGTATGTAATCCAATCCAAAAAGGGGCATGCCGGCCGAACTTGCAGGGAATTCAAGGTCGTCGAATCGTAGCAGTAGCAGTATACGTACGTTCCTGGCGAGGTGGTCGGGGTGGCGGTGGTCGCCGGTGTCGCGGCTCATGGAGACGAGCTCGTAGTCGACGCCGGCCTCCTCCAGGCACAGCAGCACCCGCGACACGAACGGCGAGATCGTCCACCCGTACACCTTCACCGCCATGTCTTGTCTGCGCTGCTCGATCTCTTCCTGAATCCTGCTGTGCTTGTGTGCTCTCGTGGGAATTGGGAATTGGAATTGTGGGAGTTGGGGATATATCCGGCGTGTGAACTGTGGAGCGAACGGATGTGTGCTAGCTCGCCGCCTCCGCCGCTCGCTATTTGTACGCGAGGCCAGCCAGGCCGCGGCGGCCGGCCAGCGGGTATCTAGAAATCAATCAGAGAAGACCAGCAGGGACGATATCGGTCAACGTGGGTGGCCTGTGAGGCTGTCTCGACGTCTTTGCTTGCGTATGTGCAGACCATGTCAACCTTGCTTCAAGCGTGACGTCGTTGCTTGCGTACGCACGTCGTGATTTTTGGAGGAGGAGACGCTATTTTCCGTCCCACTAATTAGCACGTCATGATTAGGAAATGGATAAGATGCTCAACTTTGTACTGATATTTAGTACTAGTATTTGCTGACAAAATACTTAGTTGGCTATATCTAGACACATTTTTCATTATTGTAGTAGTAACTTTTATAAGGGCATGTTTGGCACAGTTCAGCTTGACCAGTGAAGCTGTTTTTTTTTTCAAAATAGCTTTACGAGCAGCTCTCTAAGGGAAGCCGAGTTGTTTGAAAAAAACTGTTTGGCAAAACAGCTTCGCACAGTAAACGAAAGGAATAAAATTACTATATTACCTTTATCTCGATTTTACTTTTTTTTTATTTTCTCGCCTTCTTCATACGTACGCATCTACAATCTTCGCGATGCAACGGTGAGCCGTGACCTCGCGCCCGAGCATGCGCATGGCGGTGTCCTTCCCAGAGTTCCGCGCCCCCAGCAGCGGCACATCTCCCGGTGGCCCGCGCCCCCGGTGACGTCCCTCCTGGCAGGCCGCGCTCCCCACGGCGGACCGCGCCCAACGGCGACGCCTCTCTCGGAGGAGCGCGCTCCTACGTCGGCGCCCCTCCCGGCGGCCCGTGCCCGGTCAAGCCATGCCCATGGCGAGCTACTCTCCAGCGGCCAAGCCTACGGCGAGCCATACCGCCGGCAGCTGCGCCACCGGCAGGTCAAGACCCGACGAGCAAATGCCCCCATCGATTCGCACTCCGGCGGTCGCGCCTTGATGAGCCGCGCTGCCGGCGGCTACGCCCGGCGGTCATGCCTCGGCGGCGCCGGCACCTCCCTCGGCCGAGCGTGCTCTCTCTCTCTCTCTTCTTGGCTGCCAGTCTAGCCCCGATGGCCTGCTCGTGCTTGCCCGCAACATGACGGCCGCGCTCGTGCTGACTCGGCGGTGGCGACAGCGCCTGCTCAGCCGCGACCTGGGCTCCCCGACGATCGCGCCTCGACTCCCCGGCGGCCGCGCCCCAGCGCTCGGCGACCCCCAGCCAGCCACGACCCCTAACGGCAGCGCACCCTGGGCTCCTCGGCGACCGCGCCCCTGCTTCCTGGTGGTCGCGCCCCTGCTCACCGACATCCGTGCCCCTGCTCATCGGTGAGCCATGCCCCGTCGCCTCCGTCACGCATGCGCTCTCTCTCCTAGGGCAAGAAGAGTCTTTTGTGTACAATGGGGTCCACATATGAGAGATGTGAAGGGGGACTGTGACGCCTAAGAGGGAGGGTGAATTAGGCAACTTAAAATTCTAACTCTAAACTATGGCATCTTTTTCTAACCTTAGCAAAACATATGCAAAAGGATAAACTATATAAATGTGCAACTACGGTTTTGCTAGTGTGTTGCTATCTCTACCGCAAAAGGAGTTATGGAAACAATGTAAATACGGAAGGTAAAGAGTAAGGTAGAGATATGCAAACTCCCGTCGATGACTCCGTTATTTTTACTGAGGTATCGAGAAGCGCGCAAGCTTCTCCCTAGTCCTCGTTGGAGCCCCTCGCAAGGAATCACTCGCAAGGGCCAAGCTCCCGGTGGGGTAACTCCGTGGATATCCTCGGGCTTTCCCCACGCGCAAGTGGGTCTTCGGTGTGCCTTCCGACAAGCCTCTCCCGGACCGCTCCCCGTCGTCTTCACTATCAAGCTTCTAGCTGAACCGTCGCGGGCCTTGTTCCCTTCGGTACACGGTGGCGGCCACACTACAAACGAGGTTGGTGTGATGTCGCAAGACTACAAGCCCCTCCGATGTACAACAATGGTGCACGCAAGCACCGAGTGGTAAGAGGTATGCAAACCTCACTAAACACAAGGCCTAAACCTAGAGCAAGCGCATAAGCAGTGGTCTAATCAACCTAAGCACTTCGCAAAGCACCTACTCTAATCACCTAATGAATCACTAAGCACTATGCAAGTGGATATCAGTAAAATGGTGTATCAACACCCTTGGTATGTTTCCTTAGCTCCACCCTATCAAATGGCCAGTTGGGGGTCTATTTATAAGCCTCACTGAGAAAGTAGCCGTTGGGCATCAAACCTGCTTTTATGCTATTGACCGGACGCTGTTGACCTCCTGACCGGACGTGTCCGGTCACTCACAATGGTCACTTGATCTTCGGCGCGATCAACTAATCAGATGCTGATGGCGTCCGGTCACATGCCACCGGACGCGTATGGTCGCAACTTCGCCGCTACAGAACCTCTCTGGACTCGATCGGACGCTGCAGTTCCTGCGTCCGGTCAGTGCTGAATGTATTGCCGGAATGATGAATAGTGCCATCAGTGCGTCCGGTGACTTTCAGTCCTCAGCGTCAGGTCGCTGCTGCTGACGCCTGCTGTTGTCGAGCAACTGATCGGACGCATTCGGTCACCCATAGGGCAGCGTCCGGACACCTCTGTGAAGCTCGTTTTTTTATGATCTTACGTCCGGCTTGGTTCCTATCTTCGTGCTTGGACTTTGCTTAATATATTGGGTCTTCTCTTGTGCTTCTAGGGTCTTGCTTATGGTGTTGATCGTGGGATCACCATGTCACCTTCGTCCAAGTCACGTCTTGCACCCTATTGAACTACAAAACAATCACTTGCAAATTCATTAGTTCAATTTGGTTGTGTTGGTCAGCAAACACCAAAATCCAAAGTAAATGGGCCTAGGATCCATTTTCCTTACAATCTTCACCTTTTTGATGATTGATGACAACACGACCAAAGCAAGCAAATAATAAAAATTTTGGAATTTAAAAACTATCTACTTTCTAGGATGCAATGTAAAGGGCAAGGTCATATGATGCTAAAAGATACCAATTTGAAGAGACTAATTGTAAAGCTAAAAGGTACCACATGTAAACATCTTTGGAAACTTATCTTGCCCTTACAAATGTCCCCATGTGGCATTATGGATTTAAGCCTCGCTTTTTGGTCCTACAAATTCACCCGATTATATAGACTAATCCATAATCCACTATCCTCCTTTTCTCGGACCATTACCACTTGTAAATTATTATGATCGGGCTTGCTTTTGGTCCTAAAAATTGTCCCCCTTTGGAATCAAACACCGAAAAGGAAGACATTAGTAGCACAAGGGAGGGTCAAACTTTGTGATCCCTTGTATGTGAAGTGGAAAAGGTCATAAATTTTGACTCACATTACAAAGACTAAGCTCCACCTAAATATATGCATACATATGATGGAGAATGTAGTTAATGCATAATTGGCAAATTAATACTCAAGCGAGTTTAATCTATATAATGCATGGAGAAAGCATATAAATATCAAAGTGAAATCAACATGATGATATCAGATTAGAAATACCACATGTGGAAACCAATTTGATTTATACCACTTGCAATAGGTGGTGGATATTTGAAGTATGATGCTTAACTCTGGGGACTCCATTTTCCTTGCAATGAGACTACTACACACATGATAAGCTTGAAAAAGTATTAGTCTCAAAGCATCCAACTTATAGAGTAACCTTCCCCTAAATTTGTGCACACAAGTATGTAATACTTTTAGGAGATATGCACATTGATTTTAGAATAAAAATACCACTTGAAAGATGACATCACATGAATGTGAGAATCATTTTCAAAAATGATATTCGGGAGAAATTATCTACAATTTGAACTTTGGCACATATTAGATGAACAATTGAAAGACAAGCTATGTGCCATGCTTCTAAACAATTTAAACCATGTAGGTTTGCTCCAAGGGTTAAGAATGAAACCGAGCAAGCCTACCATATGATTTACCTAGTATATGCATGACAAATAATATAAGCATGCAAATGCAAACCTAGGCATGAAAAGGAACTAGATGCTAATTGAGATTGCAAGAATTTAAATCTTAATACCACTTGTAGGAAATACTAATTGAAAGAATTTACATCTAGTTACCTAACATGGGAAGGGGAATTTGGGTCCATAGTATTCACTAACCCACTTGGCAATTGACATGATCCAATGTGATACACCCCATGAAATGCACCCAAAACTATACCAAGTCTCCAAATATCCTGAAGTCCATCGGACTTCTCACTTCCCTTTCGAGATCCAAACCTTCTTGGTGCTCTTCATGTTGGAAATGATCTCCTTTGGCACCCAAATCTATTTGGCACCCAAATCCATTTGGCCCCATTGTTGGCTTTCTTGTTCACCTTGATGGCCACCACCTTGTCATTTTTCTTCTTCAAGAGATAAGGTGTGGAGGCCTTTTTGTCCACCTTTGTAAGGAAAATGGACCCTAGGCCCATTTACTTTGGATTTTGGTGTTTGATGACCAACAGAACCAAATTGGACTAATGAATTTGCAAGTGATTGTTTTGTAGTTCAATAGGGTGCAAGACGTGACTTGGACGAAGGCGATGTGATGATCCGATGATCAACACCTTAAGCAAGACCCTAGAAGCACAAGAGAAAACCTAAGATATCAAGCAAAGTCCAAGCATGAAGAAAGGAACCAAGCCGGACGCAAGATCATGAAGAAACGAGCTCATAGATGTGACCGGACGCAGTGAACGGGCGTAGCCCTATGGGTGACCGGACGTATCTGATCAGTTGCTCGGCAACAAAAGGTGTCAGCAGCAGCGACTGGACGCTAAGGACTGAGAGTGATCGGACACACCGATGGTAC